GTGCGTTCTCACGGCGGCGGCCGAGACACCGAGTCCCACGGGCCACCCGGGTGCAGGCGGCTGCACAGAGATTTCTGGGGCGAACGCGCTCTGGGTTTCTCTGCACTTCTGGGGGGGGCACTGAGGACACTGGGCTTGGCGTGTTGGAGGGTTTTGCCTCAGCCCAGCCTTCCAGACCTTCCCCCCCAGCTCAGTTCTCTGGGGCGGGTCCAGCCCGGCTCAGGCTGCAGGGTCCCACGGACGGGCCGTCCGCGTGGGCATGGGGGGCTGCTCCACAGAAGAACATTCCTGCAGGAACTCGGCAGCCCTGTCTGAGCGCAACGCGGAGCCCTTGGCCGGTCGGGAGGGGCCTTCGCAGGCTCTCTGGGGCCCGGCTCCAAATGGCTTTTACCTCCCGGACGGGGGCAGCCAGGGCCCTGTCAGCGCCAGTGGGGGTGAGATGGGTGTTTTGCTGGCACTGGGGTGAGAAATGGGTCACTTTCCTCGCACAGAGGGGACCACGGAGCGGCTCCCTTTTGGCCTGAGGGAAGGCAGGCTTGGGGGTGCAGAGAGAAGCTTTTCTATGCTCCTGAGAGGCCAAAGGAATTTGTTCCGTCTCTGGCTTCCTGGAGCTGTTCAATCGCAGGAAGGCCCTGTGGCCTAACAGGATATCTGAGGGGCGAGGCACCTTCCTGCCGCCAGACGGACATGTTAGGAGGTAGGTGAGGGTGGCAGGGAACTTGTTCGTCCCCTCCTAGAGAGCACCATGGCGGCAGCGGAGCCTTTACAGACCATTAAAGAAGAAGTCACCTGTCCCATCTGTCTGGAGTTATTTCGGGACCCTGTGACGAGTGAGTGTGGACACAGCTTCTGCCAGGAATGTATCGCCCGGCTCTGCCAGGGAGACAGAGATGTTGCCTGTCCTCTCTGCAACGAGAAACTTCGAAAGGGAACCTTACGGCCCAACCAGGAGCTGAAGAACATTGTGGAGTCCTTAAAGTTGCAAACAGCGGAAGATCTAAGAGGAGGGAACGTGTGTGAGACTCACCGAGAGCCTTTGAGATTCTACTGCAAGGAGCATGAGACCCCCGTGTGCCTGGCGTGCGAGAGATCCCAGGCTCACCGTGGTCACACGATGGTTCCCATGGGGGAGGCTGTCCAGGAGCACAGGGTAGGCACCGTGATTTGTCTTTGTTCATTCATGTCCCTCCAAACCGCCTGGTGTCATACGAAGGGAGCACGTTCCGAGGCTGGTGGGGGGAGGGACGTGAGCACCCTCCACTCGAATGCCCGGACTAGGACAGACCCTCGTTTCAAAATGCATTTGTGGCCGGTTCCTTTATCCAATGGTGATTCCCCTCCTGTACAGAAAGGTGTGTGTCTGGGGGGTGGGGGGGGGGGGGGCGGGTGCCAGGGAGGAAACGGGTCCTGGGGATTCAGCGTGTGCGACCGACTGAGGATTCCTGGGGTCTGTCCCGGCTCTTCTACCAACTTGCGGTTTGACCTTGGGGAGTCGCACTGGCCTTGTGTTCCCTGGCGATGGCCGGGGGGCCGTGAGATTTCCCTCTGTTGCACTGGCCTTGTGTTCCCTGGTGATGGCCGGGGGGCCGTGAGATTTCCCTCTGTTGCACTGGCCTTGTGTTCCCTGGTGATGGCCGGGGGGCCGTGAGATTTCCCTCTGTCACACCTGTGCGGTGAGGGTGCACCAGTTACGCCCGTGAGAGCCCTGCGCTGCGGTTTGGACACTCCGTGGCAGGATTCTGGTCTGAGACTCTTTTGACTTCCAGTCGGGTGATGCTTCCCTTGGCCACTTGCTCTGGAGAAGGGATTAACTCTCCAAGCCCCGGCATGGTTAGAGCCACTCAGCTGGTGCCGCGTTTCACTGTGCAGTGAGAGACCCACATGGGTGTGCCCAGCCCCCCCTGCCACTCACTGCTGGACAGCACAGACACGCTGTGCTGCTGGACAGGCCATGAACCCTTCCAGGCGTTCGTACACTCCCTTCCCTGCCAATCCACCTCGTAAAACATGGGAAAGGCGCCTGCTGCTCCTGCCCAGCCACTGGGCCCAGAGGGGGCAGAAAGAAGCAGACGGGTGATTGTTATTCTGTACAAGCTCTGTCTACTCCATCAGAAGGGTTGGAGAGGAAATGACCCAATGCAAAGTATATAGAACAGCCAAAGCAGTTACCTGTCAATGGTAGGACTCGTGTGAATGTCAAAGGCAGGGGAAATTGGCTTTGCAATGCTCCAACCAGTGAATGTCTTTGTTCAAGCACAGTGAGGCTGTGTCAGATCTGTCCATGAATTCCTTTTCTGCAGACTCTCTAGCCCAGGGGTCTCCAGCCTTTCTAACCACAAGGTCACTTTTTCAGTTTCAGTGCAATGTCAGATCCACCTCAAACCCAAATACACTTGCCCAGCTTCCTCGTGGCCCCTTCTTTGAGGCCTTGCCCCTGCTCCAGCCCTTCTGCGTGGCCTCATCCTGCTCACGCCTTCCCCCTTTGCTCTTACCGGCACTGACCTAACCGCTTCTCCTGAGCACGGCTCCTGTTACTGAGCAGTGTCTGCAGGCCAGGGCACATGTGGAGCCCCCTGCTCTGCCTCTCTCAGGGGCTGCAGGGACACGCCGGCCACTTCCAGGAGCAGCAATGGCCACAGGGATAATGACTCCAGCCAGGACTGGGTAGGCATTTAATAACTCACTGCTCAAAGAGTTACATGTAATGGTGAGAGAGAAATGAAAATGCTGAAATGCACAGACGGGTCCAAACCCCAAATAAGCCACTTTGCAGGCAGTGAAACTAAACACAACAACCCGCATATGTGCCGGGTCGGGAGAGGAGAGGGAAGGCCAGTGCGTGTGTGCGAGTAACAGAGATTTGCATTGCCACGCTCCCTCCATCCCCTTCTCTCTGCATGGAGATGGGGAACAGGAGAGGGGGGAGGAGAGACACCCTGACATCAGTCCCCCCCACTTCTCCTCCCACACCCTGCACAGCAAGAGGCTCCTAGGGGGCAGCTCCGAGGCAGGGGGCAGGAGCAGGAGGACAGCGGGTGGAGGGGCCCCTGAAGTGCCCGCGCTTCCTAGCTTCTCGGCCAGACCAGTCAGGGTCACGTGTCAAAGGCTCCACGATCCACCAGTAGATCCCAATCGACTGGTTAGTGACCACTGCTCCAGCCCTTCCCGTTACAGAGAGAGACGCTGTGGGGCCAGCCAGCCTCAGCCACTGTCCTCAGCCCTCTCTCCGGAGTGGGGCTAATATTGGCACTCGCCCCCAACCCCCACTTGTTCCTCCATGCCCCACTAGGTGCATCCCCACTTCTTTGCAAAAACTGAGCATTTGTCCATGTGCTCTTGCTGGCTGGTGATCAGCCCATAACAGCAAATGGGGAACATGCCCAGTGTGGGGGTGGGGGGAGTCAGGACAGGACTTTAAAATGGGTCTCTCCTGGCCAGACCGTGCCGTATGGTCCCCTGCACGTGACCTCGCTTCGAATCAGGCCTGTCGTGCAGCCCAGGGCTCCGGGAGGGGGATTCTGTTTTTCCAGGTCTCACTGCAGAAAGAGGCTTTATTGTCTCCTGCAAGAAGGGTGCTTAGCCCAGGAATCAGCTCTGCCCAGCCAGAGAAAGGCAACCGACCCCCCACTCACTGGCTGGCTGCCGCTGACCCTCCCCTGCCATCGCTGGGTGGAGTTTTCATTTTAACGTCTGTGCCTGAAGGAATCAATACGACAGCACCTGCAGGGAATTGAGTCCGGCTACAAGAAACTGAACCAGCTCCTGACCACGGGCTGCACGTACCTTCCCCAGAGTGAGCGAGAAGAGGAGCATCAGCGGCTGAAGAGACTCATTGATAACGTAGCGACACCAAACTCTTGAGACAGGAAAGAACATCAGGACAGCGCTTGAGCATATGCATATAAATAGAACGTAAGCACATGTTTAAGTCCCATTAAATACTGAATATTTTATATCAATCTCATTTTTTCCCCCAATAAAAAGTTATCCCAATTGAAATCCTTATCCCCAAGATCATAATGAATTGTATCCCAACATGTTTGTTTGCTGATGTTATTTAACATGTGTTTTGTTTCTCCCTCTTTCCCCCTCTTCTTCTAGCCATTAATGGAAAAATGTTTGGAAACTTACAAGGCCTTACAATGCATGTTGGAGATAAAGTAAGCTGGTACCTGATGGGAATGGGAAATGAAGTAGACATGCATACAGCACATTTCCATGGCCATAGCTTTGATTATAAGGTAAAAATCCTTTAAATTTTTTTTGTACTGTGTTCACTCTTTACATGAGTATTACGAGAGAATGAGATTTACAATATTAAACCACAGTCCTGTAACTTGAATTTACAGTGTTTATATATAAAACTAATATTTGATCATACCAAGATGCCTCAGAGAAGGCTAGGTAATGTTTACTAATGGGATTTATTATAAGTAAGTGTTTCATGCTGTTTTCACAATTCACCTCCGAACTGCCACACTCATGATATGAGATTGTGCTTCCCCCATGCCTCACACTGTTGTTCTAGTTACATTTGTTTAGTTAGAAATTTTGAAAGGAAGATAGATGAGCATACAATTAATGGATCTGTGAAGTGAGACTGCTCTGGAGTTGGCCTCCTGGAGAAAGAGCTCTGGCTAGTTCAAAAGCTTGATTCCCTCAACAAACAGAAGTTGGTCCAACAAAAGGTATCACTTCTCTCACCTTGTGTCTCTGACATCCCGGGCCAAATCTTTGCCATCTTATTCCCATTACAAGTCCTGGTAAGACTACTGAATAACTTCTGAGAGAGCAAGCACCTGTGCAAGTTTTAGGTGAATGTAACCCATTGTATCGGGGCAGCACATTGTATTATCCATTGTGTAGGCATAATTGCTGTTGTTACTTTTCCCCTCGAAGCGCACTGGAGTTTACCGGGCAGATGTCTTTGACCTTTTCCCTGGGACATTTCAAGCCATAGAAATGTTGCCAAAGTACCCTGGCACCTGGTTACTGCACTGTCATGTGACTGATCATATCCATGGTGGCATGGAAACAACCTACACTGTGCTCCCCAAAGAAGGTAAGAATGGCTAACCTGGATCAATCACGAGGGCATGTTCAAGGATGCATTGCTGAATATAAGGCATTTCCTGAGGGGCTGAGCAGCAGATGATCAGACCCATGAGGAAGGAGAGTGATGAGAAGGCCTGAGTATTACAAAGGACCAAACTCAGCCCTAGGAGAAACTGTGTTCTTTGAGGTGCATCACAGAATTCATAGCCCAGAGAGGACATACTCAGGCAGCTTTATGCAATCCCTGCACCCCTGCTTCTGGAGTGTTCCAGAAACCTGGGGCAAGGCAGCCTCCTGTGTAATTGACAGCCTAGGGTAGAAGGAGGGATTATCTAAGTAAGCCTTTTGGGACAGTGATTTGTATTTTCAGGTTTGTACGACGCCCAACTCAACAGGTCATAGTCCATAACTTGGACTTCTAGGCACTATAATACTAATAGCAAGTTGCAGCAGCCCCATTGGGCTGTCTATAGGTAACAGCACTGCTCAGAATTTCCACCACCCTACATGCCGAGGCCCTGCTCATGCACAACCCCTACATTAGGGCTTACATGAGCAGCCAGCTGTGTTCCAGAGCCACCCCTCAGTGTCTGCATCCAGGGAGGAATTCCCCAAAGCTTCAGAAGATTTTAAATCCCATTTGCCTTTCTGACAGGCTTCTCTGGCACAAAAAGGCCCAGAGTAGGGCTGAGAATCTCATTCCATGCATAAGCAGGAGCAACTAAAGCTGATAAGACTTGATCCCAAAAAGTAGCAAAACACCTACCACTCTTTTGGACACAAACTTATATTTCTATTTCTGGCCCTGCTCCAGAAACTGTCAGTCAATCTGTAGTATATTTACTCCCAAGAGTTTGATATATTACTATAGTTCTAAGCCAAGGGAAAAGTAACTGCAAAAAAGGGAAGTCAAATATTTGGGTAGAGTACATAAATCCACAAACTATCTCTTATAAAATACACATTTTTAAAAGATTATCCGGAGCACTGTTGGTTACTTTTAGGTGCATGGGGCACCTAAATCCTATTGGCTTTCAATAAGATGTAGACCTTTTTGATAATATTACCCTGGGTTTTCTATTTATCCCTAGCAAACATGCAAATTCTTAGATGAATTACAGTTAAGAGTTAGCAAAAGCTTCCTGTTAGCTCTTATGGGCATCAAAGAGTTAAGGAGAGGTTACTACAGTAATACAAGTAAACAAAGCAAGCATTACAATCTAAAGTGTACACTTAGATCAACATTTCAGTTACACATGGGAATCTGGGCTAAGGCCGCCTTCTTGCATTTACCAAGGCACAATGACCATTTCTATAGCAATATAGGCCCTCTCATGCTTTTTATATATAAAAAACAGGGTCCCAGGGTGGGCTGTGGCAGTAGGGCCAGTGGCCAGCAGGGCTTCTCCCTCTCCCACAGTGCTGTGGCTGAGGGCTGGGTTTTTGGGCCAGGAGGATCATTTACCTGTGGCCAATGGCGGGCACCATGGATAGCCTTTGCCCCAGATGGCCACTCTGTTTCTGCCCCCTCCCTTACCCCCATATGGTTTCTCTGCAGTATAACTGTCCCCTGCACTCACTGCCCCCAGAGGTCATTCTGCAAGATGACTGTCCTATCAACCCCCTTCCTTTCCATCTGATGAAGTGGGTTTTGCCCATGAAACCTCATACTATATGTATTTTTGTTAGGTCTCTAAGGTGCACAGGACTACTCCTTCCTTTCCATGTTATGGAAAACAATCAGATTCCAGGCACATCCTGTTTTCCTGAAACAACCAAAGCCTGACCTGCTGTAAATTAGGATAAGAAGAAGCTCTATACCAAATTTGGTGGCCCTAGCTCTTACTGTTTAGGAGTTCTTGAACAAATGGACTCACGGACAGACAGACTTTTAAAACAATTGCTTTACAAAAAGCCTGAAACTCAAGAAAAGTCAACTCAAGAAAAGGAATGCTGGGGGGAGGGGGAGGTCAGGATGTTGGGACAGGGCTTGAAAATGGGTCTGTCCTGGCCAGACTGTGCCGTATGGTCCCCTGCACGTGACCTCGCTTCGAATCAGGCCTGTCGTGCAGCCCAGGGCTCTGGGAGGGGGATTCTGGTTTTCCAGGTCTCACTGCAGAAAGAGGCTTTATTGTCTCCTGCAAGAAGGGTGCTTAGCCCAGGAATCAGCTCTGCCCAGCCAGAGAAAGGCAACCGACCCCCCACTCACTGGCTGGCTGCCGCTGACCCTCCCCTGCCATCGCTGGGTGGAGTTTTCATTTTAACGTCTGTGCCTGAAGGAATCAATACGACAGCACCTGCAGGGAATTGAGTCCGGCTACAAGAAACTGAACCAGCTCCTGACCACGGGCTGCACGTACCTTCCCCAGAGTGAGCGAGAAGAGGAGCATCAGCGGCTGAAGAGACTCATTGATAACGTAGCGACACTTTTAAAGGTAAAGGGGCCTTTCTAGACCAAATGCTGTAAAGGGGGAAGCCCCAGGGACTCAGCGAGGAGCAGCTGATGCATAAACAGGATCCCGTCTGCTCCGTCTGAATGAGAATTTCCCATTGCAAGAGCAGCAAAGCGAGGAAGCACAAAAGGGCCCAGCAGAGAGTGCACACTGTGTGTGTGTGTGTGTGTCCCTCCCCGCAATGGCCTGGAGGTGCACACGCATGCACGCACACACACACACACACACACACACACACCCTGCCACACAGACCCTGCCTTAGCTTGTGCTGACCAGAAGAGGCGACACACCCAGCACAGGCCACAGGCTGCCCCTTATCCACCATCTGACCAGATGCTGGCCAGATGTTCCCAAGAGCTCGCGCTGAGCAGCTCCCACTGGGAACACTGGAGACTCCCCAGGTCCCTCTGCCCCTGAGAGCCCGTGACACCCAGCACAGGCCACAGGCTGCCCCTTATCCACCATCTGACCAGATGTTCCCAAGAGCTCGTGCTGAGCAGCTCCCACTGGGAACACCGGAGACTCCCCAGGCCCCTCTGCCCCTGAGAGCCCGTGGGAGCGGCTGTGGCTGAGCCGTGGGGACAGTCTGTCCAGGGAGGGCAGCCCGGCAGAGGCGGCCGGGAG